CTTCCGATCTGCCATTAATCTCGTCTGATACGCATTGTATATCGCATAGGACTTGAATGAACTGATTCCTTCTCTCTGATTTCCTCTTCTGCATATCCTCAATTTGCTGAAGAATCCTTCCCATCTCTTCTTTTAAGCTTCTTCCGCTTTGTTCAGACTGAAATCGTAAGAGGAAACACATCAAATGGCTTTAAACTTTCCTAAATCCAGTTACCCTAAACAAGAATCAGTTTAGATTTGGATCTGCAATATATTTGCCGTACCTGTCTACCGTACAAAGGGGATTCCCCCATTGCAGAACAGATGGACATGAGTTTAGCTTCAGAATCAGCAATGGCGTGTCTTAGCCGAGTCATTTCTTCCTTCACGCCATCGATCTTCCTTTTGTAAACTTCCCTGCATTCATTTTCAATCTCAAGCATCGTCTTCTCTCTCTCCTCTTCCATTTCCCCGACTTCGTCCCATGCCATCTGCATCAGACGCGGAAAAAACACGTCAACTGAAACCATTCAAGATCACATCACACGAAAAAACGATTCCTTGGAGCAGAAGTAACAACCTGAAGTTCGTCCAGAAGTGATGCGTACATGGTTTCGATACGAAGAACACGAGCATTCTGAGATTCGGACATTCTCTGAACTCCTTTTTGTCGGCAAAGTAGCTACTAAGAAAACCAAACAGAAAGTGAGAGATTCCTTCTGAATTTCCTCAATGTGGGTTATGTTCTTGTGAAATCAAAATTTATTACCCAAACAAAACAAAAAAATCGATTCATTAGATTAGATTCCGTAACCCTTTTGGATGTCCGTACCCGTTCAAACCATTCATTTTCTTCATTGTTCGAATCCGACACAACTCTTGTGACTTGTTCCAGGATGTTTTCGTCGATACAAAAATCCATCCTTCACAACTCCGTAAACCCAAAACTGTACATCGACGCGTTTGTACGCGTTAATAATCCAAAGAGCGGGGAAAAAAACCCGATTTTTCAACAGCTATCGTGAAGATAAAGCCTTTGATTCATTGTTCATAAGATGAATTTGGAGAAAAATTAGGGCAAGACTAGTTAGATTTGCTGAAACCGGAGAACTGAATCTCCCTCAAATTTTCCCGGGAAACAAACAAGATTTACCTGGATTTAGAAAACAGCTGCTGTTTTCCTGGAAAACGTTTGGTTGGAATTTTTTTTTTTTTTTTTGGGCATAGCCTTTAACCCCCGGAAAAAAGGAAAAACTTTGGGAGAAAACTCGGCGTAGAAAACAAGAAGAAACACCCTTGGACAGAGAGTGTGGCAATAAGACCGTTGGGGAGCGCTGTTTTCGGCTTTCTTTTGTTTTCTGACCCCTTTACTTTACTTTTTTTTATATTTTGCCCCTAAAATCCTCTTTCTTCCAAAATATAGTTCTCCCCTCATTTTGATTCTTATTTATACAAATACGTGTAGGATCTAGGGTAATAAGAGAATACTCATGAAACTTAGTGAAAATTTAGCTTGCATTCCTCGCTGAATATGATATTTTTCAAAGACTTTCTAACTCATACGTTCATTAGATTGAAGACTGGTGGCGTCATTACGTAAATATTAGAGTTTAGGTCTATTTTGTAAGCTTCAAAAAGTAAAGTACCCAAAGTGAAAATTTACATGAGCTATAGGAAGGAAGGGACGTTGATTCCTTGTCGTTTCATTTCCTCCCCAAATTGGCGCCGTTTCTCTCTCTCTCTCGTTTCCGTTCCTCTTCGGGAAAATTAGAGCTTCCATTCGAAGCTCTCTCTCTCTCTCTCTCTCTCTCTTTTTTCCGATAAAATTTCGGGAGATCGACGGAAAAATGAGCTTCGCCGCCTCCTGAATCGTCAGAGAGAGAGAGAGCGCTTGTCGATTCTCCTGGAAAATTGGGAGGAAGAGAGAACAACAATTCAAACCGCGTAGACATCGCGGTTTTGTTTGTTCTGATTGATTGATGCGAAACTCGGACCCAATTCTACCGTTTGAGACCGGAATTCCGACGATTGTCAGGGAATTTCCGACACAATGGATCCGGAAACAACAGAAATGTGGGGAGAAGAGTTTACATTTGAGGAATTCGACATCGATTTCGAATATGAAGCCCCTCGCTTCTATGATTTCTCCAGGCCAGAACTCGATTCGGAGAAAGACCAAGCTGAGCTCTGGTTCCAATATTCAGGGAGCTATCCTCCTTCGCGTAAGACACATTCCTCTCCTTAAGTTTCGCGTTTGGACATCACAAAACCAACTCTCTGCTTCATTTTCCGTATATTTTTTGGGATCAGACATATATAAGATGTTTGGCGATAAACTGGATTTTTTCGATTATAACTCCAGCTTGGAGCCCTTTGAACAGAAAATTTCAGACAGAGATTTTGTTCTTCAGCTTTGCGCAATCATCTTATGTTTGTTACCTTGAGCGTAAAGATTTTGCTCGTCAAGCCATGAATACAGATAAATTGGAATCTGAAAATGAAAATCCTTTTAGTTTCGCGTTGTGTTCTTGTATTGCATGGATCTTGGTTGAAGATGGGATCCAAGTTTTTCCAGATCATTACATAGTCTACTCTCTCATTGTGTTTTGATTATATATATGCATTGGCTCAGCTTTCAGCCTAATGTCCAACTCGAGGAACGACTTCCTTCATAAGCAATTTACGAGCAAAAGCGGAGATTACAAAACGGGCAAGACTCAAAATCCCCCCATCAGAAACTTGGATGCCGGTTTGGATCGTGAACATAAATATAACGGTAACAATCTCAGTTAGTTTCTGTGTCTGAAAGCTGTTCTGGTTATATGGAAATGTCAAATGACTCTTAAACTCTATGCATTCAGTTTATTTAAGGTTTCGGTTCTGTCATGGTCAGGGTTCATATATTACAACGAAACTGTTAAAGATGTTCAAAGTACTAAGCCTAAATCCAAAACCAAATCGATTGTCTCAAAGGGTTCGACGTTGACAAGACCTACTGCATCTTTCTTGGCAAGGCAGAATAAACCGCTAGACACTTACTCTACTCAACTTCTCAGAAGGTATTCTTAGCCCTTTCTAAAAGTTTTTTTTTTTCATTTTTGTTTTTTGCGTTTTTCTTTCGGCTTCAACCCCTTTGATATTTCAGATGTGAGAGGTCATTAGGGAAGGTGAACGACAAGATCTCGTCTCTCTTATCCTCTATGGTCCAAAACCAGGATTCCAAAAGACAGAAGCTCAAAGCCGGTTACTTCGGCAAGGTGCTCAAGATTATCAAAACTCTCTACTCTTTGAGTTATTGATCTTAAAAGATAGCATCTGTATGAACTGAATCGATATTCCTGAAAATTTTCGAATTTGGGTTTTCTGAAACATTTCAGCGTTGTCTGATTCTATGAGATATCAGTCCTAGTACGGTGAATTCCCTTTTGTTATAAACCACACTTACCTTGTGAAGTTTAGGTCTCCCGATTGGATCAAGCTCATTTTGTACATAAGGTTCCAGGAAAGGTAATTTACTAGGACGAAGAATAAGATATATGTGTGTATCGATTCATATGTGTGTATATGTGATGGTAATCGTCTACATGTCTTCAATTAATCCGTGCTGAAGCTCCAATTCTCATGGCAAACGTAGTAACATTCTCGTTCACGGTGTTTCCAGGCAGCTCTTGTTAACTCCGGCAACTGCAGAAGCAAAGTCACTGTTCCAAGAGAACCAAACCTCCTAACAGCCCAAAGGGCTGTAAGACATCGGTAATGACTCTGGTTTTGGTTTTCAGTGACACGTTTAGACATAGTTTATGATCTCAGCCCCCGATCATATATTTTTCTCTGTTTCTTCTCCGACGAGTTTCAGGTCTAAGGTTAATCCAGAACCCGAGCAGAGAGTAAAACTGAGTTCTAATTCATCCAAAAGGCGCCCTACGAACAAAAACGTACTTTCGCCGTTATTCTCAATATCTTCTCTGTTTCTGCCAGTAGAGAAGCGGAAATAGAAAGAAATCTTAAGGGCTGATACCTTGCAGGTTTTGGAAGCTTCAATGTCTTTTCCGGAAAGGAATAGCCCTCGGCCCCCAGATTTTCAGGTATCATCTTCCAACATTTTTCTGTTTATTCACTCATCATTTCATCTATGTACCTCTATGAGAGCGACCCAACGTTCATCTAACGTAAGTCCCGAGATTTATATCATTTTAAGCGGCGAAATCAATCCTCGTTTTCGTTTCCTTTTGCGTATATATACACACTTACATAATTGTTAAGCACAATATTCCACGCTGCAGGCTAAAAGTGCAGCCACCGATGATTTAATGAGGTATGCATTCGCGAACGTTAGTTTCATTTCCCTGAACTGCTTAAACCCTCCTTACATCCAATGCCGTTTCGTTTTGTCTAGTCTGGTTTGAACCATATTGTTTCCTCGTTCTCTTGAATGCGTTATAATCATAGTCGAGTTTTCCAGAAAGTTCTTGCTCATCTTGTGCAGGCTTACGTCTCGTGATTCCTCAAAAAGTGGCAAGTTCAAAGGAATCCACGGCACAAGTACAAACCCGAAAGTTTATGGATCTAAAGTTTGCCCGCTGGACCCGTTGGTAATGTAGTTTTCTCTTACACCGTATTGAAATATCAAAACAAACTCATGACAAATAAAAGGAGGAGATAAAATCTAAATCCATGACAACACCTTCCTTTTCCTCGACAGACATCAAGCAGAGAAGACACCAGTGAAGCAATGGACATCAAACACGAGAACAATTTCCCGAGGGTAAGTCAGTTAGTAATCGATTCTTGAAGCTTTCCCAATGTCATCGGCCCACAAATGTAGTCCCGAGATCGAAAACCTTTATTGCATGGCTTAAGCTTCTTCCTTTACTAACGCCGTGCTTTTAGTTCATCCAAGGAATCCGAGGATCCAACAGATACAGGCTTTCGAGATGAATCTGAATTAGAATCTTTTAGCAAGGTGAGGAGGCTCTTCCTGCTTATTAATATTACTTACTCACACAATGCATTTATTTATCATTTCCTAATACTAAAACTTCAAACACATTTTTTCCCCTTTTACGGCCTTGAATCCAATAACCAGCTCTGCCTCAAATCCGACCATGATTTCCTCCGACTTTAGAACCCCATGATCTCTGAACAGACAACGTTGACAGAAAGAAGTTTCTTGTACGGCATAGACATGGCGATAGAGACGATGGGAGAGTTTTCCATGGGAATCACTGAACCTTCTCCTCTGATGTCAAAAGACACGTTATCAAGCTTTTACCACTTCTGCTGCTGTCTTTTGAAATTTCCGTGTTAATGGAACAGAAGTCGGAGTTTGTATATATACCATTCTAGTGAATCCAACGAATACACGTATACACCTACGTACACGCGTATAATACGGAAATATTACAAAAATACCTTTAAATGTCGATTTCATGTAATACATGACATACCCTTCAAAAAAAAAACCTTCAAACAAAAACTGTAAAAGAATGAAAAGACATCGTTACCCCTTTTAAAAAATATACGTGTCAACATCTGAAGGAGAAAGACCAAAAGTTGGGAAGTTACTAAATTTAAAAAATTTGAAAAACCAAACAGTGTTTTTGGCCCCTTTTCGACAGACACTTTCATTTCTTCATAGTGTCGTTTCTTCTTCTTCATTTTCTCTTCACTCTGTGATTTTTCTGTTCGAGTTCGTCAAACTCGTCAAATTTGCACGAAGAATAGCTCCGTCTTCATCATCTTCGGACCCTACTTGCGAAGACCTCCAGGTATAGTTTTTTAACTCCGCAAAAATCAAATTTTTTAGGGTTTCGGGTATACATTGAGATTCGGTTTTAGATTTTCTATTAAGTTTTCGTTAAGAATAGGGTTTGAAATAAAAATTTGAAAAACTATGGGTTGAATGACAAATTGTCACTGAAATATCGAAATAGGGTTTTCGGATTGGGTGAGAAACAGTGTTTTGTGAAAAAGACGGATAGAAATCGGGTCACGATGATATTGTCGACAGTCGGATGCACTAAAACATAGATTAATGGTCATGCTAGATGTTAGTTAAACTTAGCGCACCCGTCAAACAAGTCAAACTATTCGAGTCTCAAAAATGTTCAAACTCGTCAAACAAGTCGGAGTTTGACGAGTTTGACGAGTTTGACGTGTTTGACGTGTTTGAAGAGTTTGATGAGTTTGACGTGTTTGACGAGTTTGACGTGTTTGACGAGTTTGATAATGAGTGTTAAATTTGTTTTTGCAGGTAGCTTTTGTGTATGATTTTAAGGACATTCATATGGCTCCTAAGATCACGACGAAAT